GACCTGAAGACACCGATAAACCTCCAAGTGGCCCCAACAACCCTCTAAAAGGATGCAAAGGACCAGCTGCCTGCAAGCAATAGCAGTTAGACATATACCACTTCATAAGGCTTTACAGCCCTCTCTAAGCAGTTTACAGAGTCGGCCTCTTGCCCCCAACAATCTGGGTCCTCGTTTTACCCACCTCAGAAGGATGGAAGGCTGAGTCAACCTCAGCAAAGCATATAAGTCCTTCCATTCCCCACCATCCTGTCAGAGCTGAAGAAGCTTCTTGGATGAGAAGCAAAACGTCTTCAAGTAAAAAGCAAGAAAGTCCAGTTGCCTCCTTTAAAAAAAAGGAACCTTTGGGACAACCACGACCTGGATGGGCGAGAATCTCTACAGACCTTTAGCTGTACAATTTGGGATGGAGACCCTTGGAATGGGGTGGGAGGAGGAATGGATTTCCAGAGTGGAAAAATTGCAGACTACAGGAATCATTTGCACCACTCAGGTGACTCGGAGGACACAGAGAAACCTCCAAGTGGCCTCAACGGCCCTCTAAAAGGATGCAAAGGACCAGCTGTCTGCAAGGAGCATCAATCCTTCCACTCCCCACCATCATCCAAGTCAGAGCTGAAGAAGCTCCTTGGATGAGAAGCGAAAGGCCTTCAAAGGACAACCAGAAACTCCAGTTGCCGCTTGAAAAAAGCACCTTTGGGACAACCAGGACCTTGGATGACAGAGAATCTCTACAGACTTCCATCCAAGTTTCTGGACTTTAGAAAGGTTTTGTTTCTTGGAAGGAAGTACATCATGGAGGATGCAGCAAAACTGTTTCCTCCCCTCCACCCCGAGTCGCATCCTCAGTCCGCATAAACGGAAGATCAGCGTTCGGGAACCGCAGCTCCCAGCTCAGAATCTGCCCTATGCAGCTTCATCATCGGATGCATCGAAGCTCACTTCTTCAGACGCCAGGGCTGACCTTATCGATGATGGACTGCATGTGGGATTTATGGACCAGGTCGCCGTAGAGGAGGGAGGACCACTGCTCGGGAGAGATCCGGAGACCGGCCTCCAAGGCGATGTGGACGATCTGCGCGTCGTGCTCCCTCCTCAAGGCCTCGTAGCTGCGGAATTCCTCCTTCAGCTGCATCAGGGAGGAGTCCTCGTCTCTCTTGGTGACCTGCGTACAGAAACACAACCCCCGCTCAATCGATCCTTTATAGCTTTATCAATTAGCCTACAGGCCGTATCAAAGGCACAAGCGTTATGGCCTAGGCTTCCTGAGGAAGCATAAACCACAATCTTAGTCCCCCAACACCCTCTGTTTATTTAGACAGCTGTGAATTATGGTCATTCCCAGCCCGTAATGATTCACAAACAGTCTGTGAAGAGTCCGGCAGATGTCTGCTCGAGTTGCCACTGTCTTTCAGGGGAATGTTGATAAAGACCCACCTTTATCTCCCTTGAAACGCTGCCAGGGACCTAACTGCCCATTAGGTTCGCAAGGCCAAAGGCAGCACAGAGTCAAACAGTTTCTCAGAGCTTGAACCGACTAGACGAACTAATTGCTTCCTGCACAAAG